GGGCAACAACCCCACTGAACTTGTGTTCCAGAACAAACAGCTGCTGTCAAAACACAAGTGAAATAAAAAAAAACCCTCAAAACAAACCACAAACTAAACACTTTTTTATCTTCCTGGGCTCAATACATCACAACCACAGCACTGAAAATGTTTTGCTGGCTGTGGGATTGACATGATCTGGGTGAGAATTGTATTGTGAGCTTACTTACACCCTAATTTTAGACATTTTTACACTTCAGGCCTGTTTGGATCTTCGATACACACAGGAGAACCACCCTCCTGCTCAGGTTCCACCACAGTATTGAAACAAAATTAAAAACAATTGAACCCCATGGTTTTCTTTTTGATTTGAGGTCAACTTCTGTCTCTCCATCCATAAGGTACAATACTACAAACTACCATTTTCAGCAAGTAAAAGGATTTGAAAAATAAGGAAGATTGAAAGAAAGCATTTAGAACTTCACAGGCTTAATGTTATTTTTATTAAAAATCAAGTCTTTACTGCTGCAAATTTAATCAGCATTTTTCAAATACACAGAAATAAGTTCCCTGCCCTGAATTGTTCTCAGCTTAAAGATGCTTAGTATTCCAAGGGATTCATTCCAGGTATGGCAGTCTCCTCACTTGCACTGCCTCATCCTCCCAGCACATTCACCTTCCCAACAACAGAACTCTCCCCAGGCTTCCAGCCCTGCTCTGTCCCCACTGCCCCTCCTGAGCCCCCACACCTCAGCACACAGCAGGAATGGCAGGGATTCCCCACTTCCAGCAGAACAGAACGCTTGAGATCGCTCAGAACTCACCCACAGCAAGCTCAGAAAACTCCACGCCCTCCATGGTGGCCTTTTCCTTTGCATACGGCTCTTCCTCCTCTTCCTGCTTCACAGTGACAGCAAAGCTGGGCTCTGGAATGCTGCAGTCTGCTGAGGAAAAGAGGCAACTCCTTTACTGGGAAAGAGGAAACTCCTTTACTGGTTATGGCAGTCCCACTGGACTCCTCCTCTGCTGCCCCAGGAAGTTTGTGCTCCCCCACCCACCCTGCTGCCACACACAACCTCTCCAGCACTCCCATTCCTGCTTCTGGGAGCTCTGCTCTGCCTGCAGGGAAGTGGTTCCCCCTGTTCCCCCCACTTCCAGAGGGTCCTCCACACCCTCAAGCCCAGGTCCTTCCACAACACTCACCATGGCCAGGTTCAGCCAGGCCTGCTCTTCCCTCCTGGTTTTCCTGCGCTTCTCTGCTGTCCCAGCTGCTCACGTTGAGTTCAAACAGCAGAGCCTCTGCCAACGACAGGAATCAGGGAATCAGATCACAGTCCCAGCAGGGTTTGGGTTAATCTTGTTCCACCCTCTGCCATGGGCAGGGACACCTTCCACTATCCCAGATTGCTCCAAGCCCCATCCAACTTGGTCCTGGACACTTCCACGGATCCAGGGATAGCCACAGGACAACCTGTGCCAGGGCCTCACCATCCTCACAGCCAGGAATTCCTTCCTGACTTGTAATCCTAAAAATAAAACCTGTTACATTTTTTTATCACCCTTTGTTACTCCCCCTGAACCTTCTCCTTTTGAGATCTAAGAAGCTCCCTCTGAGCAAACCAGTACCATCACCTTGTGCCAGCCTCTGTCTGATGCCAGCACCACACGACCCTCACCCAACAGGATAAAAGCTTTAATTCATCCCTTGCCAGCACCTGGTTCTGCTGGGATCTCTCTGGGAGCCGCCTCCCCGTCACTGCAGGGTGCTTCTCCTCCCTGGAGCCGGGACAGGAGGGCAGGTTCGGAGATGACATCGTCTGACAAGGAACAGAGAAAGGAATGTCTCCGTGCTGCATCCACAGGGAGGAACACACCCAGCTGCGCTCCCCAAACCAGCTCCATCAGCTACAACACGTGACTGGGCAGCACAGAGAGTCCTCAAACACAGGCAGCAGCCCCACTGCGTTCCCACAAATCTGCTTCCCACATCTGGGAAAGATTCCCTAACCAAAAAGTGCTGATAACTGACCCAACAGCAACACTCACCCAGCAGGACCGGGGCTTCTCTTTTCCCAGTCAGCACCTTTCCATACAGCTCCCTCTGCCACTCCTCCAGGTTCTCCCACTCCTGAGAGGAAAAGCCAGTGGCATCGTTTTCCAACGCCACAGTCGGGGCCTGCAATCCCAAAAGTGACACTCAGCACGGCTCCTGGAACACAGAGAATCCTACTCCCTACTTATCCCTGCTACCAGGCGTCAGGGAAAGAAAATTCCTGCCTTGGGGCATTCTCTGGACACTGAATAACAGTTTGGATCTTCGCTAAACTTTGGGAGATGAATTGTGTATTCCTCAATATTCTTACTTCTCCCTGGAGCCTGATCCCATTGGGGACCTCAGAATGAGGAAGAACTTCCCGCTGTTGGTAAAAACGTGACAGCCCATCCTTTTGTAGGGAAAACCGGCTGAATATTAACGAAACACAGGAGCCATCACTTCCTGCTTAGTGCCTTCGCACGACAGGCGACAGAAGAAATCTTGGCAGCGATCGTGGAATGATTTCCATGGTGGAAGGCGAGGAGCAGAGGAGCCTTTGCACTGTCCCCTTCCCTCCAGACCCCTTAAAGACCCATCCATTACCTTGGGGACCTCCACGCCGGGGGGCAGCCGCAGGATCCAGAGATTCCTGTTCTTCAGGAGGTTCTCCATGTTCTCCAGGCGCCGCTGGAGCCGCCCGTACTCCTGGATGAGGGTGCCCAGCGCCGCGCACTTGCTCTCCAGCTGGTTCCCGAACTCCCCGACCATTTTCTCGCAGTCCAGGTGTTTCTTCTCGCTGTTGCCGGCCCGGTGTTCCAGGCTGAAGAGGCGAGACGCGTGTGCGGCCACGCTGCGCTCCAGCGCCTGCACGGCCGCCACCACGGTCCACAGCGAGATGGTGCTGCCGCCCGCCAGCTCCATCCCCGCACCGGGAGAGCCGGGACAGGCACCGGGGCTGCCCAAGGGACGCAGCGGGACACCACAGCCCCGCTCCGGCCGCCGCACACCGGGGCCGGCCCGCTCTTTCCCGTGCCTCCCGCAGCGGAGAGCTGGAGCTCCCGGCTCGGAGCGGCCCTCGCCCGCCGCCGCTCCTGCCGTGCCCGGCCGCCGCCTCCCCTTGCCGCCAAGAAGCGCCGCTTCCTCTTCCTCCTCCGCTTCCGCCGCCGCCACAGCGGCCCCCGCCGGCCGGCAGCCCCCGCAGTGATTGACAGCTGTCAATCACCGGGAAAGGGCTGAACACCCCCCGCACCCACCCAGGGGTTCCACCGCAGCGGCGCTTCCCCGCGGGACACAGAATCCCAGAACTGCAGAATTGCAGAATGGAAGGGAGCACAGTGGGCACCTGGTGGCACCTCCGTGCTCCAGCAGGGCCGTCCCAGAGCACAGGGCTCAGGATGACATCCCGATAATTCTGGAATATCCCCGGTCAGGGAGACTCCACAGCCTCTCTGGGCTCTGCTCAGGGCTGGGCACTGCCCAGGGCACAAGTTCTGCCTCCTGTGCCGGAGGAATTCCTGGGATCGGTCCCTGCCCGTTCCTCTGGTGCCATTGCTGGGCCTGGAGCAGAACCTGGGCCTGCTCTGACCCTCCCTGCACCCAGGGACAGCCTGGGACACCCACGGACCGCCAGGGACACTCAGGGACAGCCAGGGACAGCCAGGGACAGCCAGGGACACTCAGGGACAGCCAGGGACAGCCTGGGACACTCAGGGACAGCCAGGGACAGGCAGGGACACCCAGGGACCGCCAGGGACACCCAGGGACCGCCAGGGACAGCCAGGGACACTCAGGGACAGACAGGGACAGCCTGGGACACCCAGGGACCCCCAGGGACAGCCAGGGACAGGCAGGGACCCCCAGGGACAGCCAGGGACAGCCAGGGACACTCAGGGACAGCCAGAAACAGTCAGGGACAGCCAGGGACACTCAGGGATAGCCAGAGACAGTCAGGGACACTCAGGGATAGCCAGAGACAGTCAGGGACACCCAGGGACCACCAGGGACAGCCAGGGACACTCAGGGACAGCCAGGGACAGACAGGGACCCCCAGGGACAGCCAGGGACAGGCAGGGACCGCCAGGGACAGCCAGGGACAGCCAGGGACAGTGAGGGACCCCCAGGGACACTCAGGGGCACCCAGGGACAGCCAGGGCTGAGGGTCCCTCTCAGCTGTGTCTCCTCTCCAGGCTGAGCAGCCCCAGCTCTCTCAGCCTCTCCTGGGCACCGAGATGCTCCAGGCCCTTCCTGAGCTCCAGGAGCTCCTGTCCCTGCTGTGCTGAGGAGCCAGGGCTGGACACAGCACCCCAGAGCCTCCCAGGGCTGGGCACAGGGGCAGGATCCCTCCCTGGCCTGTTGGGAATGCTCTTCCCAATGCACCCGAGGATCCCACTGGCCTCTTGTCCCCAGGACACTCTGCTGGCTCAGGGACAGCTCATTGTCACCCAGGACTCTCAGTTCCTTCTCAGGGAACTGCTCCAGCAGGTCACCCCCAGCCTGTGTAGGTACCTGGGGTTGTTCCTCCCCAGGTGCAGCACCTGGGCTTGCCCTTGTTGAATTCCAGAAATTTCCTCTTTGCCCATCTCTCCAACCTGCCGAGGTCCCTCGGAAGGGCCACACAGTCCTCGGGGGGATCGGCCGCTCCCCCCAGCTTTGATCCCTCAGAGGAGACCCCCTCAGCCAGGCCAGTGATGAACCAGGTAAACAATACCAGCAGAGCGCAGTCCTGCAGCCACACCCCGTGCCACTGACCCCGACCCTCCGGGAGCTGCCACTCAGCCGCTTCCCAACCCATCCCACCGCTCCATCCATCCGTCCATCCGAGCCGCCCCTCCGGGAGCTCGGTACCGCCCTCCCAGCCCATCCCATCCCACCGCCCATCCATCCATCCGTCCATCCGTCCATCCAAGCCGCCCCTCCGGGAGCTCGGTGCCGCCCCTCCGGCGGTGTGTTCCGTGCGGGCCCGGCGCGGCCGCAGCGCTGCGGGGCCATGGCGGAGCTCCGGGCTCGCCTCGAGGCGCTGGAGCGGAGGATGGAGCGGGCGGAGGCGGCGCTCCGGGACCGGCCCCTGGCGGCCCTGCGGCTCCACGGGGTGAGAGCACCGCCATGGGCGAAGCGGGGGGACCCCGGACGGGTGTGACTGATGGGCGGCGAGGAGGGCTGGGAGTGGGATGGGGGAGTCGCTTATGGGGCCATTGCGGGGCTGGAGGTTGGGAGTGAGGTTGGGGGGGGGCACTTGGGGGCTTAAGGAGCCTGGGGGTGGCTTATGGGGCTGTTGGAAGGATGGTTTGCGGCTGGGAGGGAACCTGGGGATCGCTCGTGGGGCTCTCGAGGGCTGGGAGCGGTTTTGGGGGGCTCCTGAGGGGGCTGCGGTGGGTTGCAGGGAATGCAGGGGGTTCCCGGCTGGCCGGGAGCTGTTCGAGTGGCTCCTCAGGGGGCAGCAGTGGGTTTCAGGAAACTGTGGGGATGAATCCATTGGGCTCCTGGGCATCCGGGAGCTGTTAGAGGGAGCTGCGGTGGGTTTCAGGAGACTGGGGATGAATGCAGTGGGCTGCTGGGAGCAGGCTGGTTTAGGAGGCTGGGAATAAGCCTCCGTACGGGGCCTTTTGGAGCTCTTGAAGGGCTGGGTGGGTCCGAGGGTCTGGGAGTTGCTCGTGGGAGCTGCCCTGTCCCACATGCCAGGCGGTGCTGCAGGTCCCGGTGCTGTTCGAGGATGTGGCAGTGCGGTTCAGCCGGCAGGAGTGGGCAAGCCTGGACGAGGGACAGAAGGAAATGTACCGGAGCGTCATGGAAGGCAACTACGAGATGCTGGTGTCCCTGTGTAGGCTGCGTTTGCGCCGGTTTGGCAGCCCCAGGGAGCTCTCTTGGGGTCATTTCTCTGCCTCTTTGCCTTTCACTGGACTCTCCAGCTCTGAAATAATCCTCTCCTCTCCCTGTCCCCTCTGGCAGCAGTTGGAGCGTGGCAGGAACACGCAGGACAGGGTAGTAAGTGCTTGGTGTTTTTTCCTCGTGGAGAACAGGTACCTTATTGGTGTTGCATCCTCCTGGGTTGTAACCTCCAAAATCCTTTGCCTGGGAAACCCACTTCCATGAGAATTTTCCCTGAAGTCCAATCTGAACCTCCCCTTGAAGCTGTTTCCTGTTGTACTCTTCCCTGAAAGCAGATCCTGATTCCCTCCTGGCTACACCCTCCTGTCAGGGAGCTGTGCAGAGCCAGAAGGTCCCCCCTGAGCCTCCTTTGCTCCAGGCTGAACCCCCAGCTCCTGGTGCTCTGTTCCTCAGGTCTGTTCACTTTCCAGGACATGTTCCAGCCCCTCAATGTCTTCCTTGGCATGAGGGGCCCGGAATTGCCCCCAGGAGTCCAGGTGGTCCCTCAGCACAGCCCTCAAGCTCTGGGCAAACATACAGTCAGGAGCCTCACAATTCCCTTCCCATCATTCAGGGTATTTTCCTATCTGCAAGGTGAATTTCTGGGAGAACAGGGAATTCTGTAGCAGGGGCAGAGCAAGGATGGATTTTTTTGCAGTTGTTCTCAGGGGACTATCAAAGGCTGCTTTCCATATTCCCCTGTCAGCTCTGCCTGCTGTTTCCTGTCTGTTTCCATAACTTCCGTCGTGGTGCCGGTTGGAGATGAAGTTTCCTGGGGTGGGACTGGCTCTGTTGCCCAGCTGTGGGTGCAGAGTCCCTGTCCCATCATGTCCCTGACGTCTGTCTTGCTCTTGCCCAGACTGTGCCCTGTCCAAGCCTGAGCTGTTATTACAGCTGGAAAGAGAAGAGCTGAGCATGCTGCCAGAATCGGAGCCAGAGGCAGCAGAGGTGTCCCCAGAGCTGGCTGCAGGTGGGTGACACTGGGTTTCTTCTGTGCCAGGAGCTTCTTGCTGCTCACTGGGACCATGAATCCCAGATTTTTGGGTTTGGGTTGGAAGGAGTCTTAAAGCTCATCTCTTTCCAAGCCCCTGCCATGGGCAGCAACACCTTCCACTAGAGCAGGTTGCTCCGAGCCCTGTCCAAGCTGGGACACTTCCAGGGATTGGGAGGTGTCAGCTGTGAGGGAACACCTGCTGGGATGTGTGGATAGCCTGGGAGCTCCTGCCCCAGCGGGGGGCTGGGTGGGAGGGATCCTTACACCCTATGGAATGGGATCCTGCACTGGCTCCTTGGAGCTCTCCACTGGCTGGTGGAGAAAATCCAAATTTCCTCATCCTTCGCAGAGCCAACCCGACAGAACTGCACCAGCGATGACACACTGCTGGAGACAGAGACAATGGAGAGGGGCTGCAGGGAGCCAGAGGAAAGTGGGAATGTGGCAGAGGAAAGCAAGAACCTGGTGGAGGAAAGCAGGAGCCCAGTGGAGATAAGTGGGAGCCTGACAGAAGAAAGTGAGAACCTGGTGGAGGAAAACAGGAGCCCAGCAGAGGAAAACAGGAGCCCAGCAGAGAAAAACAGGAGCCCAGCAGAGGAAAACAGGAGCCCAGCAGAGGAAAACAGGAGCCCAGCAGAGGAAAACAGGAGCCCAGCAGAGGAAAACAGGAGCCTGGCAAAGGAAAGCAGGAACCTGGCAGAGGAAAGCGGGAAGCTGATGGAGGAAAGCAGGAGCCCAGTGGTCGCAGAGAACTTCAGCAAACGTGAGTGCCTGGCAAATCCTGCTACTGCTGTGAGGTGTCCTGGCTGTTCCTCACCCACCTTCATCACTGCTCTTGCCCTCACAGCACCCGTCCCTCTGGAAGCCGCTGCTGTCCTGGCGGATGTCAGCCAGCTGTCCCCTCCCCGCCCGCTCTCTGTGCGCTGTCAGGAAGCCGTGGGTCAGAACTGTTCTCCCCCTGCAGCAGGTACTGGGACAGGACCTTTATCCCTCCTTGGTGGGGCCAGCAGCTTGAGGGGGTCTGTTGGGCATCTCTCCAGGCTCGGGGATTCCAGGAAAGGGCAGAAAATCCTGTTACCAGCCCTGAAACCATTTGGGATAAGTCACGGCATGGCACACCTGCCCAGACAAGCCCCATGGTGGTTGTCAGAGTCCCCTGTCCCCCTGGGTGACGTTTTCCACCTCAAGCTGCTCTTGGGGTGTCCACAGGGATAGGCTGTGGCTGTTCCTGGTTTTTACACCATCCAGAGACTGAGCTGGGAGAGGAGAGCTGGGTTGGGATTTGTGCTAGCTGGGAACAGGGCAGAAAGTGAGGGAGGGTGGGAGCAAAGCCCTTTGCTGTTCATGCCTTAAAACCACATGGAAAAGTGATGTTTGGATTGTCAAAAATTCCCAGTAGATGCTGAGGCGGGGATCCCAATGGAGGTGCCGCAGGAGAAGGTTGCTGCAGAGAAACCACCAATGGCCAAAACACCCTCTAAGGGTCCTGAAGAGGATGAGGGTCCGGAAAAGGAGACTGTGAAAGATTCAGAGAATACCGGCCAAGATCTGGTGGCCGACATTCCTGAAGAACCAGGAGAAAAGGTGACACCAGATGTCCACAGAACGACTGAACAGGCAGATCCCAGCCCCGGGGAGCCAAAGAAGGACTCCTGCGTGGGCCGGCCGGCGGCCTGTCAGCGAAATGCCGCCCGGGAGTTTTACGCCTGCCCCATCTGCAGGAAAACCTTCCTGCTGAAGATCAACCTCCTGATCCACCAGCGTGGCCACACCAACTGGGTGCCCTATGTCTGCGTCCACTGCGACCGCAAGTTCATGTCCAAGAAGAAAATCAGGCGGCACCTCCGTGCCTGGGCAGTCAACGGCACCTGCCAGCCCTCGGATGCAAAGGTGTGTCCCAGCCAGGGGCCGTGCCCAACATCCCAGCCCCAAAAATGGGCACCCAATGGCTCCTGCCAGCCCTCAGATGCAAAGGTGTGTCCCAGCCAGGGGCCGTGCCCAGCATCCCAGTGCCCAACATCCCAGCCCCAAAATTGGGCACCCAATGGTTCCTGCCAACCCTTGGATGCAAAAGCGTGTCCCAGCCAGGGGACGCCGTGCCCAACATCCCAACCCCAAGCCTGGGCACCCAATGGCTCCTGCCAGCCCTCGAATACAAAGGCGTGTCCCAGCCAGGGGCCATCCCAGCCCCAAGCCTGGGCAGCCAACGGGACTTGCCAGCCCTCAGATGCGAAGGTGTGTCCCAGCCAGGGGCCGTGCCCAACATCCCAGTGTCCAACATCCCAGCCCCCAGCCTGGGCACCCAATGGCACCTGCCAGCCCTCGGATGCGAAGGCGTTTCCAAACCAAGGGCTGTGCCCGGCATTCCTGCCCCAAACCTGGGCAGCCAATGGCACCTGCCAGGCCTCGAAGCCGGAGGAGTGTCCCAGCCAGACCCTGTGCCCGTCCTCCCAGCCCCAAGCCCCGGGCAGGGACTGTGGCACCGTGTGGCAGGAGCCTGGCCCTGCCAGGTGCTCGCTGTCCTCTGGAAAAATGATGTACACATGCAACGAGTGCCTGGAAACCTTCTCCAGCCAGGGCTTCCTGACGGTGCACCAGCGCCGGCACTCCGGCCACCACCTCATCCTGTGTCCCTGCTGCAACCGCAGCTTCACCTGGGTCTCAGACTTTGTCCGGCAGCACTGGACGCACATGGGTGTCCGGCCCCACCAGTGTGGCATCTGCCAGAAGACCTTCAAGAGGTTCTCCCACCTCAAGGCTCACCAGAGGATCCACAGGCGGCAGGAGCGGCCGTTCACCTGCGCTAACCCGGTGCCCATGGTGGCGGCACCCGCAGCAGGAGACGGGGTGGGAAACCAGGACGTGACCCCGCAGGGCTGGGGCACTGCTGTCAGACCTTGAGGTGTCCTCCTGGGAGCGGGAGGCAGCTGTTGGACCTCAGGGTGTACTCCCAGGGATGGGATGGTGCTGCTGAAACTTGAAGTGACCTCCCAGAGACTTGAGGTGACCACCCAGGATGCTGCTGATGGACTTTCAGGTGAGCTCCTGGACACAGGGTGCTGCTGGTGGACTATGAGTTGACCTCTCTAGGAGAGGAGGCTGCTGTCTGATCTGGAGGAGAAGAATGGGATGCTGCTGATGGGCTTTGAGGTGTCCTCTCAGGAATAAGTTGCTGCTGTTGAATCTTGAGCTGACCTCCCAGGAACGAAATGCTGCTACAGGACCTTGAAGTGACTCCCAGGCATGTAATGCTGCTACTGGATCTTGAAGTGACTTGCTGGGGACTGGAAGCCACTGTCAGCCCTTCTCCCCTCTCTCCCTCTCCAGATGAAGGCTGGAGCATCAATAACATTTTCTGTCTCCTCTGCCCTGGTGTGGGGATGGGGGGCACCTTCCTGGCCTCTGTGAGGGGGCTCCTTGTTCCCAAGCCCTGGTGGGGCAGGTGGGACGCTGGGAGTGGGTCCCTTTTCTGGAGAGTGCCAATAGATGCTGTAGAAACCAGGATGGTGAATGTGGATTCCTTGAGGGGGCTCCGGGAGGGTCCTGTCGGGTCCGGCTGGGTGGGTGGCCCCAGGAATGGGATCCGTGGGCTGGAGTGATGGAAGAGAGAACGGAACACTGGGTGGGGAGAGTCACCTGCTGCTGGGGGGCTGCAGTCCCAGTCTGAGATGGGGATGGGGTGGGATTGGGGGTCTGGATGGGTCTCTGGGAATGGCAGTGGGGGATGCTGGGCACTGGGGATTTGATGTGGTTCTCATGCAGGGGTGGGGATGGATGGGGATGGATGGGGTTGGAATAGGGGTAGAGTGGGATAGGGGTGAGAGGGGATATGGGTGGGCGGAATGGGGGTGGATGGGACCGGGATGGACGCAGGGATGGGATTGGGATGGGGTGGGATGTGACAGAATGGGATGGGGATGGAGATAGGATGGGATGGGACTGATAGAGCCTGGCTCTTTGGTGTGGGACGCAGCAACAGGACAAGAGGAAGAGGCAGGAACATGCCCAGGAAGCTCCACCTGGAGAGGGTGAAGAAATTCTTCCTTGTGCAGTGACTGAGCCCTGGAACAAATTGTCCAGAGAGGGTGTGGAGCCTCCCTCACTGGAGATACTCCAGAATGGTCTGGACACAATCCTGTGCCCTGTGCTCTGGGATAACCCTGATAGAGCAGAGAGGTGAGACCAGACAAGCCACTGTGGTCCCTTCCAACCTGATCCATTCTGGGATATGGCTGTAGATGGGATGGGGATGGGGCTGGGGCTGTGACTGGAATGGGGCTGGAGGTGGGGCTGTGATGGGGCTGTGCCCAGGATGGGGCTGGGGCTGTTCCCGGGCTG